TTTATTTCAATCCCAAACCTACACTTTCACCTAGAGCTACGCAATTTGGGGCGAAACTTTCTAATTTGAGAGTCATGCGTTTCCCTGCAGTTTTCAGTGCGCTGACTTCAATATTGACTTCTAAATATTTCCCCCGACCCAAAAATTTTAAACCCATTTTGGGGCAAATTTTTTTAAAATTTAATTGCACATTGATTCTTGCAGTTTTTTGAGTGCTGATAGCAAAAATCACTTCCATTTTGACATCAGACTTATATTTTCATCCGAAAAGAGGTCATTTTGGACCAAAATTTTCAAGTCGAGTCTTATATTGTTTCCTGCAGTTTTTGGTGTGCTGAACTCAAAAATGACTTCCAAAATTTTTCCCCGACTCACACTTACCCCAATTTTTACCAATTTTTTGGGCCAAAATTTTTAAATCGAGTTTGACATTGATCCCAGCAGTTTTTTGGGGTGCTGATAACGAAAATCACTCTCTTTCGACTCCAGACTTATATTTTCATCCCAAATTAGGTCATTTTGGACCAAAATTTTCAAGTCGAGTTTTATATTGTTTCCTGCAGTTTTTGGTGTGCTGAACTCAAAAAAGACCTTCAAACTTTTCCCAGACTCACATTTAACCGAATTTTAACCAAATTTTTGGGCCAAAATTTTTAAATCGAGTTTGGCATTGATCCCAGCAGTTTTTGGTGTTCTGATAACGAAAATCACTTCCATTTGTACCCCTGGTCTAAAGTTCACTCAATATGAGTCCTTAAGATGCACATTTTCTTCTCAAGCAAAGTCCAAAGTGCACAAACCTTGTCAATTCGCATCGCTCAGCCACACTACGCGCCCAGACTAAACGGCGCGTACCCCTAGTGTAACAAGCCCTTTTTGGGGAGTAATTTTTATTTCGTAGAAAGTTGGCGCCCGGACTTTTAAAAGAGGGCCCCTTTTATGATGTGCAGTAAAAACGCTTGAAGACGTTACCCTTAAACGAAGCATCTCTGGAAATTCCCCCTTTCTTCCAGTTAGGGGGGAAACCGAGGAGGTCCTGTTACGCTTTGGGTTTTAAGCGTTAACTGATTACGCTTGAACAGAGGGTAATTTTACCGCTTTAGTTTTACCCGTGCACCGTGGACCGTGACAAACAGCCAACGACCTGAGTGAGCTTTTAAAGGTCCTTTAAAAGATCGACACGTTTCAGATATTAAAATTAGTGATAAATCTATAAAATTTCAAGGGGAAACAGGTTGAATTGTCAGAGAAGTTCAAAAAATTGAAATGGTTTGAAATGGAATTGGTTGAATTGGTTTGAAATGTTTGGTTAAGTTCCGTGTATTCCAGTAAATAGGTCAGCGCTAATTTTCATGCGAGTTTGAAATTCGATAAATTCCACAGACCAAGACGTTAAGTCTGCGTATGCCGTCTTTCTATGAGTTACAATGAATTTGGGTCAAATGTATGAACCCTAATTTGGTTTTGCCCCGAGGATAACTTGGTCAAAATTTTTCTACATTTCTTTAAAATTTTAAAACCCGAAAAAATTATAGGAGTGCACTGTATCAAAAAAACTATGGAGAAACAGTTAATTCTTTTGCCTTTTTGTCCGTACCCCAACATTTTCCCGTAGCCTCGTAACAATACTCTCCGTACGACAGACAGTTTTCTTTCCCCATGTTCGTTGGGAGACCAGTGAGGTACGGAGAAACTATGACGCGTACAGAGGGGATCGACAAGAAGACTACTGTACTGAAAATGTTGGGCTCTGGGCAGGGAGAATTTATTATCTTAAGTTGTTAACTGGTTTCTCCGTAACTTTTCGCCACCATCTGGTGAATTCACAGGTGGCAATTTCCCGCCGTTTTTTTTTGCAGGTCTGAGCGGCTTGTCTTTCTGGATCGGAGGATCGGACCACGCCGACATGGGTGTGTTCACGTGGACGCAGACGGGCAAACCAGTGACGTACGACAACTTCCAAGTTTGGCCGCCAGTACGCTACGATGAGGAACACCGTGAAGCAAGCCACTGCATGTGTACTTACACTGACATTCTACTTTGGAAGACCGATTTTTGCGTCAATGTTCAGCGTCCCTTCATCTGCAACAAAGAGAGGAAGGTTATTACTGTTGAGTTTGAGGTGTAGTCATTCGTTTTTCAGGCATGCATGCACTTTAGAGTAACAATTAAAGAATTATAACCTCAGGTGTTTTATGCATTTACCTCGATTTTCCCGCCACATGAATTAAAATCCACCCGCAAGAAAGAAGAATAAGTTTAAGACGGATAAGTTTCATTTCAAATTTTCCTTTGCAACAGTTTCCAACCACCTGAATAAGGTAAAAAATTCATTGTGGGTCACTTTTTTGAAAATTGCCAATTAAGGCCTTAATTTTGACCTGGTGACAAAAGTGCCAATGTGGCTTTTAACCACGGCCTTGGACTAATTTTCGCAGCATATAGTAGCCCCGTCTAGCATGTCACGTTGAAACAAGGGTGACAAAACGTCACTGTGTGCGTTGCATTGCATTACGCTCGTTTGGAAGTGATTTCAGCCGTAACTCATCTAGTCAACGCTCATACGAGGACACAATGCTCAAAGGAGCGTGACCTTTTGTCACGCTTAACGTTGCAACGTCACCTCACGCTCGTGGAATGAGAGGAGAGGCAAGCCTGACAGTACATCTGATAATTAAATGGCTGTCATCAAGTAAGTTGTCTGCCACGGAGCTGGTCTGCCGAGGACATGGCGCCTGCGGACGTTGGGTAGGCCAGCCCGCAACACACAGGAGCTTGACGGGCGCGCATCTGAAGTTCGCAGGCGCCCCCTCGAGACATGATGGAGGAACCAAGTTGTTCATCGGATCAAGCAGTATGACTGTAAAGCGATCCGTAATTTAATGCGGAAAATGAACGGAAGAGCAGTACGGAAGCATAAAAAGTACAAAAAGAATCATCTCAACTTAACTCCCCATCACCAATTGGTAAAAAGAGGTAACTGCAAAAACATACTACTGACATACACCCTCAGCTCCACTTGCATTGACTACAAAATTTCCCCCTCGTTTGGGAGAACTAAGAAAACATGGTTCCGTTTTCCATTCCAACGGAACGATTTAAATCACAGAAACCATCTACAGACAAATGCTAAACTTTTGAAAATTTTCAGTTGGTTTTCTGACCTATTGCATCCTTCATCTGATTGGATTCCCTGCAAACAGTTTTTTTTTTTGTCTCCTGAAAAATGATGAAAATTGAGTTATTCCCTTCGTCCGCTTCATGGATCAATTGTTCCGTGATGGCAAACGTAAAAGGGTACGGAAAGTTTCGTACTTGGTAGCACGGACGGTCTAGGCAAATTATTGACCAAGCTTGTTCCTATTATTTTCAGTACTTTTTCTCGCAGTGATTAAAAACCTCTTTCCCTGGATATGGTCAACAGGTCGATAAGGAATGTAATATGAGCCAGAAAATATAATACGAAAACAAACTAACAACTCGTCCAAAATGCTCCATAATATCGGCATCACTGGCCGGATTTGAGTGGACGACGGGCGTATGACGTGAGGTCCATTGATCGCAGCATAGTCGGCTTGACGATTTCTTTCATTCCGCGTGAAACTACACCGTTAAAAATCCACTGTAATATTACAACACAATCACCTACAGTAATGCTGTTATAAAACAACAGTATTGTTTTGTGTCTGAACGGGAAACCCATCCAGAAACAGCACTTTCGTTTCATAACAATTTCCTTGTCAAGTAACAACAATGTAATCGTCATTCAAAATAGTTGTGTTGTCGTTGAACAGGTTTCATGTTTAGAAACAGCCTTTTGCAATCTTAAAACATATTTTGTTGTCAGGTTACAAGTGTCTTGTTTAATAACAGCACGATGAAATCAACACAAATGTTGGGAAGACATCGTCCAAGACTCCAAAGAAGTATTGTTTTATTACAATCGAACTGTCAGAAAACAGCACTGAGGGCTACAACATGCTTGTAATAAAACAAGTCGTGCTGCTATCAAACTTAACAGCATAAGTGCTGTTAATTTACAGCACTTTTTTTAACAGTGTAGTAACGTATTTGTCACCATTTTTTTTTTGATTTGGCTTAATATCGGTGACTCCAGGCAACTGCGCAATATGACGTCACAGACCGTAAAAGCAGTCGTCGGCTCACAGGTTTCCGCATCGATACACGCTTTCGCTCGTCGCCGAGTGAAGCAAAAATGTAATCAAAGAGCAAGGAACCAGTAGGCACGTTCCTACTGGTTCCTGGCTTTTTGAGCGAGCACGTTTGTTCTTCACTCGGCGACGAGCGAAAGCGTCTCCTGTTTCCTCGGGTGCATGAACAGAATTGGGACCAGTTTACGCATTTAAGCGACTGGTGAAATGATTAAGTTGAGACGAATTTTGTCTATTTTCAAACTTTATCTTGCGGCCTAGGACACGAGGGCAATTAACCGAAAACCGAAGACTTCCAAATTTCAATTCGTGCAGTACGTTTAATATTTACCCGTAGTCTTCGCCTGAGTCACGGCCGTATTCTTACTGTGGCGGATCCAGAGGCGACCTGCAAGAGGGGGGGAGGGCAAAGCAGCACTTTTTGCCTACCTTTCAGGCGGCTATCTAGGGGCTATGGGGGGGGGGGCGAAAACCCCATAGAACCCTACATATAGTCCAATATCGGTCCTACAATAGTTCTTAAGCCCGAATTCTCGGTCTACGTGTTGTGGCTTAAATTTATTACATCCATTAACATTAATAGATGGATGGGAATGTAGCTAATAACCTACTGTCCCAAGTTACCCCCGGTCATAGGGTAACTTGGGACACTCTTTCGAGTCCGCTGACAAACGATATAATCGGGGCAAATGAACCAGACAAGCATGAAATCATGGGTAAAAGGTCAAACTTTAGCATAGTTAGGATCCAATGGTCTGGGTTGAGATTCTTGCCTCTGGCGTTCAAGAAACGTGAAAAAGTGTCCCAAGTTACCCCCGTTGACGGTAGGTGTACGCCAGACCATGCCTTGTCATGACGGGCATTGCGATGCTGCCTGCGAAAGTCCCGTCAAAGTAGGCCCAGTTGAGTGAAACTACAGGTCAAACTGTAGTCTTCAAAATGCAGTTGCAAAACTACAGGTTATTCTTACTTAAAAGCCCTAAAACTAAACTTTTACGAAATAACTGGTACTTTGAGCACAAAAGGGTACTTTCGTAGATCCCTGAACCGGAAGCTCACAGACGCCATGTTGGCGGAAGTAGATCGAAACTTGACATGGGAAAGAGACGTTAGTAAAACGTATCGGCCACACTTGAACATAAACCGTCGTTTGATACTTGTTTGCAGTGCGTATGTGTTACGCGATCAATATTTGTACAGCTCGGTTATAGTTTTAGATCCGAAGAGAGGTTAGTTTCCGGCCAATTTGGCGTCTGCTGGCCTGCTTGCTTCCGGTTTAGGATCTACGAAAGTACCCTATTGAACTGCAGATAAACTACACTTTATCTGTGAAGGTAAAATCACAAATCCTTTCTCCCGGGGGTCTTCAAGCCTGGAGTCGTTGCAATCATGAACGAAGAGTCGAACTGCGTCTGAAATTTGGCCAATGCTCAGACCAGGCAACGACGTCGTGGCGTAACACGCTCAGAGTTGGTGAGTCACCTCGGCCCACACGGTTGCCACCTCTAAGAGCAGTGTGCTGTGGTTCCTACCATCTTGCCGCTTGCAAAGATCTAAAACTTCGATTTCCTGCTTTGAAACCACGTTACTTCCGTTCCAGCTCTACGTGTAGGTGGTGTTTCCGCACAAGGCTTCCGATATCCCATGCATCGCAGCTTTCCATCATTCCCAGTCCAGGTACGTGACATCGCATAGTCTATATCGCTGGCTCTACGTCGATCCCTCGAAAAAAGATATGCGCCGGAAGTCGGGTCGCGTCGGCCAATCAGAAGCCTCCTTTCACCAGTGGTAGCGCCTATCCTTGAAGAAAGGAGGCTTCTGATTGGCCGACGCAACCGGACTTCCGGTGCATTTGTTTTCTCGAGGGATCGACGTGGGTCCAGTGAAGTAGTCTTTTGGAACAAATGTGCCAAAATGTTTCATCCCTTTGAGCAGTGTGTCTTATTTGTGGCCGTTGGGCCAAAACTGTGACAAGAACGTGACATCTTGCCACATCACCATCGTACTATCGTCAAAACTTGCAGGGTCAAGACACGCCATTGAGTAATATGGTCACAGCTTTTCTGAAAGTACCGTGCAAGTGCAAGGTACTATATGTAGATTTAAGGTTCATTCGGGTACCACTGAAATTCGAAGGGTGATACATTTGACCGATTTTCGGTGATACAAAAAGTATGACTGAAAAAGGATCATACTTAAATGTATGACCATATAAAGGTCACTCATCAGCGAGACTGGCTATTCTTTAGCTTGGGGATATATCAGCCTCTACCTGTGATACACTATAAAGTATGACCATCTTTCGGTCATACATCGAAGTGTGACCTTTTTTCGGTCTTACATTTCGTATGACCCTTTTTTGGTCGTATATTTCAGTAAGACCGTTACAGGGGTCAAAAGTCTGATCTTTCTATTTTCAGTGCGACCGTGTGTAGCCGCCGTCCCCCCTGGGCTACTTCGACGCAGACGCTTGGTGCCGAGGCAGTTCTCTGTTCATCGCCGATACGTTAGCTCTCCGCTCTGTGATTTCTCTCTGCGTGCTCGGCAGGTAAGGGAAGCGCTGCACTGATAACGTGGGGTCAACATCTAGTCCTCTTTGGTTATGAGTGTGTATTCGAAGACAGGTATCAGAGCGCAGGGTACTCCAATGAATCTCCGGTGAGCATGCGCAGAAGCTGTTTGTAGGGCTTACTTTTGTTTGTTTGTTTGTTTTTCTTCTTCCGTTTCGATATTCATTGGAGCACCCTATTGCCGGTTCACATCTTGGCGAAGCAAGTCTCAGACAGGGTTTTCCCAGGACCGATAGGGTATTTCAAAGGTCTAGCCGGGAAGAAGATTACAAACGAAAGTCAAAATGGCAGATTTTATGAGAAATTTACGCGGCGCAGACCTCATCCGTAGAGTCCTTAATGCCCTTTTTAGCTCGGTGGTTAAGCGCCACAAAAAATTCGAAATGTGCACAACATGTTCGGAACGATCTGATTTCGGAAATCGGTAGATTTTAACCTCCTCTTTCAGATAAGCCTTGGAGCCAAACCCGGAAACCGCGGGAACCATCCGAAAAAGCGGGTTGCATATTTGCCAGGGGTACGGCCGCTTTTACAGTTAAAATCGGTTATAAATCAAAAACTAGGCGACGCATCATCGCGGTTGAAACGGCGGAGCGTCGGAAAGACTTGGAAGAGTAGGTTGGCGTTGTTCTCATCTTCCTGGCAGCAAAACTGCGACCTACAGAGTCTATAAACTGATTGGACACTGACGTTCAAAATCAGAAATCCGCAATTTGCACGAAATTTTTCAGGTCGATTGTATGAGTTATTGCGCACCAATAGATGCGCCCTTCTGTCAGCTATCACGTGAGCTCTTAAAAAATGGGGGTCGTTGCTGTGGATTTCGAACGGCAGCGCTTTGAACGCCGCCAGGCGGAGAGCGCGCGGGCTCCGCCGGGCGGTACTGCGGGCTGCCTACCCGGCCTCTCCGTACACTGGTAGCCAACGAATGTGACATCACATTCGTTTGAACGTGAAAACTACGATGTCAGATTGAACGTGACAGAGAAAATTCGTACTCAAACGAATGTGACACGCCGCACCGCTTTGTCACATTACTTCGGGTGTGACACGAAATCAGCAGGCAAACTGTCACATTAAAACGAATGTGACACATGGTACTCATTGACATTGAATTGTCACATTCAATTGAACGTGACACGCCATAACCTGACACTGATGGCGTGTCCGGGGCGTGTCACCTTCGTTTGAATGTGACAATTAGGGCATGTCACATTCAAACGAACGTGACAGCATATGGGTGTCACATTCGTTTGGATGTGACACGATGTATGTCAATGGGTACCATGTGTCACATTCGTTTTAATGTGACAGTTTGCCTGCTGATTTCGTGTCACACCCGAAGTAATGTGACAAAGCGGTGCGGCGTGTCACATTCGTTTGAGTATGAATTTTCTCTGTTTGTCACGTTCAAACTGACATCGCCGTTTTCACGTTCAAACGAATGTGATGTCACATTCGTTGGCTACCAGTGTAAGGCGCCATGTTAACTTTGCACCTTTTTAACTTTTTTCCCAAGGAATAAAAACAATGCCTCTGCGGGTCAAAAGCTTTCTTTTGGCCTCAACTAAAATAGGGACGAGTGTCATTGTGTTCGAAGGATTTGCACATTCATTTCACTTACACTTGCCACCGGACGCAGCGGCCAGTCTAAGTGAAATGGGTGTGCAAATCCTTCGAACACAATGACACTCGTCCCTATTTTAGTTGAGGCCAAAAGAAAGCTTTTGACCCGCAGAGGCATTGTTTTTATTCCTTGGGAAAAAAGTTAAAAAGGTGCTAAGTTAACATGGCGCCTTACGGAGAGGCCGGGTAGGCAGCCCGCAGTACCGCCCGGCGGAGCCCGCGCGCTCTCCGCCTGGCGGCGTTCAAAGCGCTGCCGTTCGAAATCCACAGCGACGACCCCCATTTTTTAAGAGCTCTCGTGATAGCTGACAGAAGGGCGCATCTATTGGTGCGCAATAACTCATACAATCGACCTGAAAAATTTCGTGCAAATTGCGGATTTCTGATTTTGAACGTCAGTGTCCAATCAGTTTATAGACTCTGTAGGTCGCAGTTTTGCTGCCAGGAAGATGAGAACAACGCCAACCTACTCTTCCAAGTCTTTCCGACGCTCCGCCGTTTCAACCGCGATGATGCGTCGCCTAGTTTTTGATTTGTACCCGATTTTAACTGTAAAAACGACGGTACCCCTGGCAAATATGCAACCCGCTTTTTCGGATGGTTCCCGCGGTTTCCGGGTTTGGCTCCAAGGCTTATCTAAAAGAGGAGATTAAAATCTACCGATTTCCGAAATCAGATCGCTCCGAACATGTTTTGCACATTTTTGGTGCTTAACCACCGAGCTATTTGGGGAGAACCGCTAACGTAACCAGAACGCTGAGTGATTCAACCCTCGACTTTGTCCCCAAATGAACCTTGTCAAAATTCCGCTTCCTAGTTTTGTTGAGCTAAATTTGGTCTTCGTTCATATGGAAACCAAACTCCAATATGGCCTTGATCACCAAAAAATTTTTCGCTTGCACTCTAAATGTTCTACAGTGAAGATTCTCCATATTATGGTGAAAATGTTCCATATTATGGTGGTGCAGCTGACTTCGTAACATACCATTGAGAATTCACTGTACCTTATGGAGATTTTCACGAATTTCGTTGGTATTATGGAGAAAATCTCCACCATATTATGTTGGTGCAGCCTTTCACCGTAAGACATTTACTGTGTGGTTCTAGCTGCTACAGTTGTTGAGTCTTAGTCATTTGTGCCCATTGTTGTCGTAACGGCCCTGGCCTGGCATTGTTTCGTTTTGGGTATCATACCCGATGTCTTCTCTACAAATCGAAGAGCGTACATTGTATGCTCTAACTAGAACATGCCTGTAGGCACGCTCTAGCTAGCGCATGCCTGCCCAGCATGCACTTACTAGTGCATACATGCCATGTACACGCTAACTGAAGCATGCATCCAGTGCATTAGGGAAAGGGAGTTGCCTGCATCAGGAAGCGTGTACATGGCATGTATGCACTAGTAAGTGCATGCTTGGCAGGCATGCGCTAGCTAGAGTTAGAGCGTGCTTGCAGGCATGCTCCAGTTAGAGCACATACAATGCACTCTCTTCGATTTGTAGAGTTTGTATCGAGAAGTGACTGGGTGCAGACTGCTGACGCCTCCACAGTCGATATTGATTTGTTTGATCCAGGTTCAGCTATGGAGCACGCGCCGACTGAAATCTTACTTAATATTTTCCGCTTTATTGACGACGGCCGGACGTTGCTGGACTGCGTTAGTCTCGTGTGCTCCAGATGGAACAGCCTGGCGAAGGACCCACGGGCGTGGGCCAGTGTTTGTGCCACGGTGAGTAGTGACCTACACTGGTGAAACAGAGTCATTTCAACTTCGATCTTTACAGTAAGTTTACATTGTAGCTATGTCTGTAATATGTAGTTGCTACGTACTAGATGTGCAAGGAATTGATCATACGTTTTGATATGCCCGGATTCGAGCGTAGCTAAGTATGAAACTGTGCACTGTCATGCACACACTAAATGTTGATGTACTCTTATTGTCCGTAACTTTTGCCATACATGCACATACGCAAACTATGACTAATTGAATTCATATATTGGGGACGATATTTGATCCAGGAAGCGGAAGAAGGGAATAACTCGACTTATCTTCAAATTGAGTTTTTATCATATTATTGTGCATCAGTATGGATTGCGTCATTACACCAAATTGTTTGACCCAATTCCTAACTCTAAGGCGAAAATCTACATGAAAAATGGATGTGACTCAACTTGACCCCTTTTGCGGTCTAAATTTCATGAGACTTTTGTGTTCGACCACCCCCTAAAGGCCGTAATGCGCCCGTCGTTTGCGGCGCGTTTTGTGGCACAACTTTTTTGTATGGCCAAATTTTGGCGAGACTTTCCACGTCTGACCAAAACGTGGTGAGGCTTGATGTCACGCCTCTGGAGTGGCGAGAAGTCAGACCATTGGATTTGAAGTGGGAATGTTCAGTCAGTATTTTTTCTCCCTTCGCCCTTCAGATATGCACTTCAAAGGACCGTGATTACTATGTGCCCCGGAACGAAGCGCGCGTCGCCGTTCACGCTCTTGCCTTGCGGGAGCTGAGAATTCAAGTGTTGGCTAATGCGGCGTTGAGTTCAATCTTGACGCTGGAAGACTTCGTCCCTCTGGAGGAAGTTCTGACGCGGTGCCACGCCACCATTCAGAGGATCGTCTGCGGTGACGCGTATGCCATGAATCCCGAGTTAAGGACGGTGAGTACACTGTTATTCCTGGGTGTTCAATAACTAAGCGCCTTAAGGCGTTTGCCTCAAAAACCTAGACGCCTTGATGCGCTTAGTTACTCAACGCCTAAGGCGTTTAGTTACTCAACGCCTAAGGCGTTGAATTACAAGACACCTTTGCTTGGCCTGTACCCACCACAACAGCAGTGGGAGTACTAATGCAATACAAGCTGCCTCTTTCCATTGCCTCAAGGCGTCTAACTACTATACGCCTTCCAAGGCGTTTAACTGCTAGACACCTTGGAGGTGTGCAGAGGCTGAACAGCTTGACTGTCTTTGAATACAGCCATGCCATCCCTTGTTTGAACCAAGGTGTTTAGCAGCTACGCACCTTTGAAGGTATCTTACCATTAAACGCCTTGCAAGGTGCGCAGCAGTTAAACACCTTGACACAATGGGCCAGGGCAGCCTGCACTGCTAATGTATGCATGGAGATTTGTCCACATTTTTCCATTTGTTTTAATAATCTACACATACCTGTCAAAAATTAGTTTATGATGCTGAGTTGTCAGTATCCAATTAAGGATGGAGACGGCTGTTGTCAATACGTGTGACCAAACCGCAGAATGTTTTTGTCAATGAATAGCAGTCATCACTTACTATTGTCCTAAAATTAACTTGAGTCTTATTGTTGGTTGCAAAGTAAATTAACACAAAGGCGGCAATATAAATTTGGCCTTGAAGGAAATAAGCACAAATATAAGTCCTTTTCTCCATTGTGAAGAATCCACAATGGACCAGGCGCTGGTGAGGTTGGGCTGCCCCAGTAGATGGAGACATTTTCAGAGTTTAGAGGCGTGTCAACATATGTGACGCACTGTCACATCCCCTTCGTTCGATTCGATTCATGATTTCACTGCCACGAAGCGCTCAAATTCGTGTGCAACAGTCTAAAAACGAAATAAACCGAGCCAAGAAGCACACACGAACTCGCACGTAAACATTTGCGACGCAACAAACAAAATGCTGCCAACCTATGAAATGAAAAGAACGTCTGTTTTTTTTTTTTCGTTCTTGTCTTTTCATTTCATAGGTTGGCAGCATTTTGTTTTGTTGCGTCGCAAATGTTTACGTGCGAGTTCGTGTGTGCTTCTTGGCTCGGTTTATTTCGTTTTTAGACTGTTGCACACGAATTTGAGCGCTTCGTGGCAGTGAAATCATGAATCGAATCGAACGAAGGGGATGTGACATTGCGTCACATATGTTGACACGCCTCTAAACTCTGAAAATGTCTCCATCTACTGGGGCAGCCCAACCTCACCAGCGCCTGGTCCATTGTGGATTCTTCACAATGGAGAAAAGGACTTATATTTGTGCTTATTTCCTTCAAGGCCAAATTTATATTGCCGCCTTTGTGTTAATTTACTTTGCAACCAACAATAAGACTCAAGTTAATTTTAGGACAATAGTAAGTGATGACTGCTATTCGTTGACAAAAACATTCTGCGGTTTGGTCACACGTATTGACAACAGCCGTCTCCATCCTTAATTGGATACTGACAACTCAGCATCATAAACTAATTTTTGACAGGTATGTGTAGATTATTAAAACAAATGGAAAAATGTGGACAAATCTCCATGCATACATTAGCAGTGCAGGCTGCCCTGGCCCATTGTGTCAAGGTGTTTAACTGCTGCGCACCTTGCAAGGCGTTTAATGGTAAGATACCTTCAAAGGTGCGTAGCTGCTAAACACCTTGGTTCAAACAAGGGATGGCATGGCTGTATTCAAAGACAGTCAAGCTGTTCAGCCTCTGCACACCTCCAAGGTGTCTAGCAGTTAAACGCCTTGGAAGGCGTATAGTAGTTAGACGCCTTGAGGCAATGGAAAGAGGCAGCTTGTATTGCATTAGTACTCCCACTGCTGTTGTGGTGGGTACAGGCCAAGCAAAGGTGTCTTGTAATTCAACGCCTTAGGCGTTGAGTAACTAAACGCCTTAGGCGTTGAGTAACTAAGCGCATCAAGGCGTCTAGGTTTTTGAGGCAAACGCCTTAAGGCGCTTAGTTATTGAACACCCAGGAATAACAGTGTAGGCACAGCGCTCGCGCTGCCCTGGTGGAAGGATCTGCAGTTTGCGTCTGCGCCCTTTCGAAAATTGCGAGGCTGAAAAAGCAAGTGTAGTCGCGCATTGAAACTGCCCTTCCATTGTTGCTGAGGTTGGATTGATTGGTTTGCTTTTAAAGGCTGCGGTTCTCTTGTCATGTGTTCCTCAATTCTATAGAACAGCTTTTACTCACGACGTCAAAACAGCACGACGGTTGGTTTGACAAACTTTATAAATTCGGGAGGGGTGGTCTCGGAACGCGGGTGACTTTCGTTTGACGAACATGCACTGTAAGTCGCGTGATGGAGTGAGTCGGTCATGGCGTTAACTGAATCGGGTTTGACCAGAACTCTTTTCTATTGGTTAGTTTGAATTTTAAGCGCATGGGCACTTCAAAATTTTTGGATTTTCTCATAATTATTTAACAGTTGGCACTGGCACGGTCCAATACATGGCTATTTTAAAATATTTATAATTAAAATCCTGTGAATTCTATTTTAAATTATCAGATACCAGTTATGAAAATGGGAACACCTTGCAATGCGATTAGCATTGGAATTTTTTTCGTTGACTCGGGTTAAAAATAATGTATTATTTTAGTTATAATAATGTTTTACTATTGCTGGAGTGCAAGAAGAGTGAAGCCCGAAGTACAGTTAAACTGTAGTAGCGTAGTTTGCTACGCTCACGTGCTTTTCGCACCTTTTTGGCTCGAAATTTGTGCGATTCTGAGTACAATTTTTTACGATAACGTCTACCTTCTTAAAATTGTGTGTGAACACGTTCAAAATTGTCCTCATACATTCTGTGTGGAGTTTTTGTGAGTCGCTCTTCGTTACAAATGTCAATCCATTGGTCTTAATGGTTATCCTGTTATCTGCTTTTCCAAGCGTCGTTGTTTTGTTCACTCATGTCATCTTTTGTGCCTCGTGACAGGTCCAGTGTGAACTGCTGAAACGCAATGAGAAGAGCCTCAGAGCACTATCTTGGAGTGTCCGTGGGCATGCCGCTCTGCATGGAAATGTACTGCACTCCATATCAACTTTGGAGCAACTTGAAGAGTTGACACTAGCGGCATCCTCGAAGCCACAGTAAGTTTGAACTAAACTTCTGCCCTGTCAGAAATAGTGTTAATTTTGCACACTCTGAAAACCTTCAACCAAGTATGGATCGCAGTGGATTTACGCCCTCGTGAGGCGTATATAGGTTTTTTTTTTTGCTTTTGTTTTGCTAGCGTTGACTGACTGTTCCAGGTATTCGCAGCAGTTGAAAGGTCGCCTCCCTTCGCTGCGCGTGCTGAACTACTCCGTGCTGCAGGGCGTGGATCGCGTTCCCTTCAACCATCGCGAAATACTCCAAGACTTGCTGGAAGGTGCCGCGGAGTCGCTGCGCCGAGTCGATGTAAACCTTCCCCTCTATCCGTCGGTGGTTCAGTCGCTCTCCAAGTGTGTGAAAGTCACCAGGTACGCACTCCATTTTCTAATCATATCACTCAGAAAAGCTTGCAAAGAAAAGTACTTTGCAGTACAAAGCATTCTCCGGCATTGTATTACAAACTCCCTTGCGAACTTTTTTCTTCGCATTGCAAAGAAATAGTTCGTAAGTTGCGAAGAAAAAAGTTTGCAACGTTGCGAAGCACTTTCTTTGCAAGTTGCAAAGAAATACTTCGCTATCCAAAGAAAATAGTTTGTAAGAGAGTTTGCAATACAATGCCGGTGAATACTTTGCTAGGTTTTTTTGAGTGTGGACCGTCGGTGGACCGTGTGCGTACAAAACTTTTTCTCCAACCCGAATCCTAACTACGTTTAATTTCACATGACTACAATCGGTTTGGCACCCATGAATGTTTTGGGGGTCACCGAAAATGAGAGTCGGGTCATTCTACAGAAATGTTACAATTTCGCAGTTAGAACCGTGAAAAAATAAAAGTTGTCCGATTTCATTCATATTGGGCTTGTTTTTCTTGTTTCGGCATGCAGAATGCGAAACGATATCAAGCGTCACACTTTTCGAGAAAAAAAATTTTCTCCACTGAAATCATAGGGGAAATGTCTACGGAGTTTACATAAATTGACGCCTACGGAGTTTACATTTTGAAGCAAATACCTGGATTGCAGCCGTATGAGTTGGAACAGTAGAACGCGCATACACAGCTGACTAAAGGACCACCAAAGCATTGTTTTTATCCACAATTCGAAAGTTTGACGCACAGGGGATCCGTGGCAAATCGGGTACGGAGTTTACATACAAAAAAAATACGCGACCCCCTTTTTGAAATTTGGGTACCAATTAGATGCTAGCCATTGGACTCACATCCTTCAAACTTGGTGGCTAGATGTGTTTTTTCATCCGGAATCCATTGCAGTCTTCAGATTGAGGCTGTGACTTCCCGTTTGTCTCCTGTAGTGCCAAACTCGTTACAGTGCACATGTGGATTTTAGGGAAGTAAAAACTTCGGGACAAAAGTTAATTCTGTGCAGGCACAAAGCTTCAAACTTTTTACTAAAGTCAGTGGGATTAAGTTAAAGTATAAAAGTGCCTTAGCAAATAGAGCCGTCGGGAATGATTGTCCTGCGTCTCGTTTAGACATACGAGAGGCGCAAACTTACTGAACTACGCATCGGGACAGCCACGGAGTTTACATTTTGCACCTTCCGGAGGCCACAGCCATCTGAAAACCTCAGAAACTTTCAAACCCAATAGTGGATCTTTTGAAGCACAAAAAGCACCATCTCACCGCGCAAACCGCGTCTTTCTAGGACGAACCGTTTCGTCACAAAGGGGCAGGGACATCAAATTGTAACATTTCTGTAGAATGACCCAGTCATGGGCCTCTCAAGTTGTCTCAAGTTACCCCGTTATTTGGGGTATCTTGAGACACCCCTAGTTTTACTTTGCTTTTCAACTAAAGTGGGGTTTTTGCCGGTCCATACTAGTTTTCTGGGACATTCATCTTATTTTCAATGAAACGTATTCATTGTTGAATATATTAGAAGAATTTTGAAGCTCATATTAAGATTTTCTTCTCAACAAAGATACATTTGGTAATTTGAGGGATAACGGCGCTTAAGAAGCACAACTATTCTGTCATTTCACATCCAACCCTGTCGTGGCATTGCACGTATGGTGCGATATCTCAGCTGCATTGCACCATACGTGCTATACTCTTAGTGTTTGGAATCTCAGTGTAATAGGGTTGATAGATACTACTACAATCATTTGGGTCTCAACAAGACGTGTTTCGAGTACCAAGGGAGACTTGTAATACTTCTCTAAAATTGTTTAATTTACTAAAATTGAAAAATTGTTATAGAACTGACCGGCTGTTTACGCTCTTTAGATGTTTTGTACTTTCCCTTTTCAGGCTCACCATACCCATCGGGTCTGTGAGCGGCATCCGCCGAATGACGTCATTGCGCGAGCTGACTGGGGTCGTGCACTCGCAGCTGGACGACGTCTCAACTGGGAACGTGGAGGCCCTGACCGACGCCGCGCTGCCGGCACTGCGCCTCCTCAAGTTTGAGACTTCGACCGGCTTCTACTTGACTCGCTGCCTGGCCGCGATGCTGGCCATCGCCAGAGCAGCTCCCCACGTCAGCACACTGAAAGTCCAATACGACACTTCCTCCAGGGCGTCCGTTGAGAACACTGTGGTCGAGATGCTGGGCGTCCTACCCGACCTCACGTCTGTCTCCGTCTCGACGGGCGGCCCAGCCATTGTCCCACGGTGAGGCCCTGCAGGAGCACAGCGGACCTGAAGACCGGCGCACAGTGGGCCAGAAGACCGGAGGAGGCGGTCAAAACTCTAGACGCGTTTTCAGCTCCATCAGTCGCTGAATGCGACTCGAACCGAGCGTGTGACCCCCACCAATGGACTCCTCGTTCAGAGAGCAATCCATTGGTGGAGTCAAACGCAAACGTTCGGTTCGGGTCCCATTTCGCGACTCTGGAGCTCAAGACGCGTCTAGAATTTTGGCCGCCTCCACCGGTCTTCTGGCCCACTGTGCGGCGCCGGCTGCCCAAATCCTCGACGCGTCTTGGGGTCCGCAGTCGCTAAACAGGTCCCGAACCAAGCGTGGGACCCCCGCCAATGGCTTCCTCGTTCGCAGCGCAATCCATTGGTCGGGTCACACGTTCGGTCAGAGTCCCATTTAGCGACTCTGGAGCTCAAAACTGGTCCAGGACTTGGACCGCCCCCATGGAGGCGGCGCATGCACCCACTCTCAGCACGTCACTGACATTTTCCTCACTTGTGAAGTGAATATCCCGACAGACTAGCGGTACCCCACACTCAAAACCTTTGTAGTGTTTTGAGCATCTGTTAAGTCCGAACTATTCAGCTCCCTAAACGAACACACATGTTTCAAGTATGTATTAAACTGTAATTCGTAAATAACGGATTCCGATTATGGTTTAAAGTGTGCTAGAGTCATTTTAAGCTA